AGATAATAAATCATTACGGAGTAAGCAGTAGATCTAGACCCCGGGTTGATAATTGAACTTGTCTGTTACTGCATTCCCGGACTGCGATTACACTTGGTCGCGGTTTGGTGTTGTGTTTTGGCGTGTCAATAGCCCAATCTAAAATGGATACGTTCCGAATTTTGGAGGAAAAACTGTTGGGTCCGCTTCATGGGTGGAAGCAAAGGACACTATCTTAGGCAGCAAAGGAGACATTGATTTTCCAAGGAGAGGGGCGCTGGTGAGATCTAAAACTTAGGAACTAGTTTGACCCGAAAACTTGTCGAGCCATTAAAACAATTCCTCTTCCTCGTTAGGATGTTCAGGATAGGTTGATCTGGCATGATATGTGTGAGAGGATTTTCACTGTAAATCGACCTATCATTTTGTAGTCTTGTTAGATAAGCAGGATGGCCGGTGGCGATCCACGAATAGTTGGATAGATAGTTCGAACTGGATATTATTGTGGGAAGCCCATTTCCACCTAATTAAAAGTTTTTTATGGCAAATATTTCACGGGATCCTTCCAACGACGAAAGCCCTAATTGAGAAGGAAGTTCATGTGCTTCCCAGGTGCCCGTTTTGTTGGGCAAAATTAGAAACAATGGAACATTTGTTCCTTGATTTCCCAATGGCAAGGGTTTTATGGGATCATTAGAGACACGAATATCATGACCAAGGTTTGCATCGTCACACTTTTCCGCTCTTCCTTAATTTGATGGTACTAATACACCAACCTTTGTTGTTTGTGGCGGTTATTGCGGTACTTTGGAGGATCTAACAGTCAAGAAATTAGGTTATCTTTGAGGGCAGACAATTTGGGATTTCCTCAGCTCTAATGTGACAATTTCACAGCAGTACGAGAAGTTGATTAGTTTGCCAGTTGACCGTTTTCTGCGATCATCCAACCCACATGGAAGGTCCTTAGGTGCTGGGCACCCTAATTTAGTTATTTGTATGTGGGATGAGGCAACTAAGAGTGAGTCCCACTCGGCAGGACGAATGATTATCATGAATCAAGGTGGGAGAGTCCTTTTGGCTAAAGGATTGTAGGTTGCTGATATTGATGATCCTATGGTTGCCGAGCTACTCGTTCTTCGGGAGGCTATTTTCTGGTGTCTGGAGAATGGGTTTACGGAGACGATGTTCAAAGGAGATGCCAAAGTGATCATTGATAAAATAAATCTGGCAGATATCTTAGATAATCGGATAGGGGTCATCCTCGAGATAATTGGATATGTGCTATTTATAGGTCGTAGTAGTAATAGGGTAGCCTATTTGGTGTCTAAAAAGACCCTTTCTATGATTATCTTTTGTAAAAAAAAAAAAACTTAGAATTTTCCACAAGTTATTGTAATCATGTGCCTGGTGGTTTCAGGATTCAGTAGAAAATGATTCTTTAATTTTATGCCTATATATAGAACAGTTAGTGTAAACATATATGATATATCTAAATAACACTTAAAGCAACTACAATGTCCTCTCTGCCATTCCTAATCATTATTATACTTAAGTATATCAAATTTTATTGATAAAAAAATCTTGAAATCTCAGCATCTTATCAATTCTGCTATTTATTGTAAAAAAAAAAATTAATTCTGGCATCCGTCGACATGAAAGATGCGAACTGAGCCTCTTTGGCCTGCATGCGCACCATGTATAAGAGCCGCACGTTCACGATAGCTGCTTCCACAACATCGATAGTAATTAATAATTATAGCTTTTTCCATTGCAGTTAAACTCGTGGATGTGAATGAAGAAAACTACATCCTTTGACGTACCTGCATGTCAGTAGGCTTGTCTCGATCGATCGATCTCTCTCTATCCTTAACCCCCAGTTTCCATTGAACTCTCACCGATACATATAATATATGGTCCCGACTCCCATTTCGTCGACTCTCTATCGCACAGTTGTTGTTAGCCAACTGTACCTATCCTTTCATCAAGCTGTATTCCTTAATCTCAAAACCCTTTTACTTTTAGCAGGTTAAGAGAGGCATGACGGCCATATATACAGGGAACGTGAAGTTTTTGTTTTGATGTTGGAGGGGGTGAAGAGAAGACGAACAAGGAGAAATAATAATTGATTAAGTCGTTATCTGGATGTTCTCTTCTGTATGTAAGACACACAAATGTATAGGGGAGATCAGCTGTGTCTGATCTGAATGGGACCAGCGGAATTGCAAATACAAATTGGCCCATTATTCATCATCAGCTGTCTCCTCCATGTCTCTCTCTCTATCTAACACTGTGCGTTTGAGACACAAACAAATCTTCACATCTGGTGCCTTCCCATTTGGTGTAGCTAGTAGTTGGGCTCCTCAGAGGCCTTGAAGCAAATGTTGGGGGAACCCTAAAGATAGCAACGGTCATAAATAAAATGTTCAATTCCCACTTTTCCAGACATTCTTGTTGGATATATTTACAGTTACATGTGACTTTTACTTGCATAATAAAAGGAACCAAACAACGTCACATTTGATGAATAGATAGGGATACTGATATTTTCCTTTTGAAGGAGGAAGTGGGAACAGAAATAATGAGGAATTAATGTGGTTGGAAAATATAGGCAAACAAACACGCTAAGAAAAATATAGACAAGTTGGAGTGATCCCCACCATGGATGATCTCTTGACTAGGCTTGGAATTCGGGCGGATCGGGCCCGGATTTACATGGATCCGTTGCCCGCCCGGCTGAAGTTCGGGTTCGGGGAAAACCCGCCCGATACAAGTATTCGGGTGAAAACCAATTACCAGCTCTGCCCGACTTCGGGGTTCGGGTTAATCGGGGATCCGAAACTGATCCGAAGTTAGCCATAAATTAGAAAAACAATAGCCAAAAATCCACTGAGCATGAACACAAACTTGTTACTGGAGTCTGGATAGATAGATTTAAATCAAAATAACAGTAGGCACTGCCACAACGGCAGTAGCACAACAATCAACAACGAAACATTGAACAAAACATGAACTTGTGACTTGTCCTAAGTTCAACCAAAAGAAATCATTCAAGACAAACCATTGTAGCAATCCAAACCATGCAAAATAATATCCTGGTTCTTAAACTGAAAAGAAAATGGCAAAATCCAATTCTCCATCTCCATGTGCAGCAACAGCAAGTCAGAACCACCATTCCAGCAGCATACTTCATCTCCAACAGCAGCTCATCCAGCAGCAGAACCACCATTCCTTCACAACCTACAACATTCAACAAACTTAGAAGTAAGAATATAAGATATTCAACAATTCAACTAACTCAGAAAAAGAATATTAGACATTCAGACTTGTAAGTTAAGACTTACAACTTACTAGAAAGGACATCAGTAAGAAGGTTGTTTAATCATCAAGAAGTTTGATTCCAGGAACTTGATCTATACATTTAAAAGCTAAACATTATCAACATATGCATATGTAAAACAACTTATAAGTCCAGTAGAAGAGGTTTTAGTTTGTTACCTTAGACTTCAACATCAGGTTGGCCGAAATTTGCTTCCTTGGGGTGGAGAAACATCCTTCCAGCACTCCTGTTCCAGCAACAGCTTCTGCAAGAGCAAACAAATGACATTAAAACAAGTTTGGTTAAAAACGAAATAAAAAGGCAGACTGATCCAGATTTGCTTTATCTATTACCTTCACTAAGACCATTCTGCAACCAGCTCCTTGTGCACATTAGTCTCTCTACAGTAGCATAATCTAGTCTGCTCCTATGAGGATCCAACACACGACCTCCAAAGCTAAATGCACATTCAGACGCCACAGAGGTAACCGGAATAGCAAGAACAACCCTTGCAATAGCTTGCAGTATGGGATATTTCGGACCATTAACCTTCCACCACATTAAGATATCGAACTCAGCTGAACGAGGGAGAATCTCCTCAATGAGGTACTGGTCCAGTTCAGTCTGGACAGCAGTAACCCTTGCCTTTTTTCTTTGACTCACAAAAAGCTCAAAGTCCAAATCAGTTGTGGTAGGAGTAGATGACTCAATACCAGCAGCAACATTCAAGCTCTTCTTCTCATTCAGTTTAGTTTGGTACTCTAAAACCAAATCAGACAAGATACTCTTAATAGATGCCAAACAAGAACCATCATCCCCAAACTTTTCATCATAATAGTCCAGAATGGCCAGCTTATATCGTGGATCTAACACCACAGCAATAGCAAGTATTTTGTGGATCTCATCCCAATACTTGTTAAACTTTTCCAACATCGAACCAGCCATCTCCCTTATCACTTCGTTAGCATCAACACACCATTCATAAATTTTGAGTCTCAGATCACAAATACGAGGGAAAAACAGATTTGTAGTTGGATACTTTGAACCAGAGAACAGATCAGACACCGAGCAAAACACTTCCAGTTTCTCACAAACAAGTGCAGCAAATTGCCACTGCTCATTTGATGGCAAACACTTGTATTGAGAATCACATTATTTCAGTCTAGTGAAAACTTCTTTATAAGGCATAGCAGCAGATAGCATCTTAAAGGTGGAGTTCCACCTTGTAGGGCAATCCATAACTAAGCCCTTATCAGTATTCACCTTCCATTGTTTTGCGGTTTTTTTTTAAAATTCCACCCTTTTAGGAGTAGCGCACCAGTACAAAACACTGTCCCTGATATTTTCTATTCCCTCTTTCACAACATCCAATCCCTCCTTCATAATCAAATTTAAGATATGAGCAGAACACCTCATTTGTATCAAGGACCCTTCACTAATCATATATGAATCCACTAATTTTGACTGTATGACTCGGATCATAGAGTCATTAGTACTACAGTTGTCCAAGGTTATAGTGGATACCTTACTGTCGACATTCCTATCGACCAAACAACCAAAGAGCACTTTACCAAGCCTTTCACCCGTATGGGGTGATGGAACATACATAAACCTACACAAGAAACACAAACGTAAACAGTTAGGAATAATTCCAACACAAACAATCTATAATGTTTGAAACAGAATCAAGAAAGTTATCAAAATCTTACCTAAGCATGTGGCTCCTAAGCACCCAAGAGTTGTTGATATAGTGAGCAGTAACAACCATGTATCCCTTCTTTTGAGTTGTGGCAGTCCACATATCGGTAGTTATTGCTATTCTACCTTTATTGTTATCAAGCACAGTTTGAATCTTACCCCTTTCTGTATCAAAAATCTTAAACACCTCTTTTTTCATAGTGTTCCTACATGGTACAGTGAACAATGGCTGCAGAGAGCACACGAACCTCTTGAAATACAAATGCTCAACAATTGAAAGAGGATACTCATGCATAGTAATAGCAATTGCAAGCTCCCTTTTCGAAAATTCTGAGTTGAAAGCAGTAGCAACCATGTCTTCTTTTCCTTGAGCCAAATAATGAGGGCCAAGGATCTTTTGACTACCATCTTTAATTTTCTTTTGAACATAGATTTTTGTGTGATTCTTTAAATGAGTAATGCCATTGTTAGATTCTCCACCTAGAAACTTCTTACAGTAGTTGCACTTAGCCTTGATAACACCACTAACCCGAACTTTGGTATAGTGACCCCAGACAGGACTTTTAAGCCTACCAAGATCGATTACCTCCTCAACATTACCATTAACAACATTGGGATTCTGCTGGCTCGTATGTGCTGCCTGTGCAGCCTCCACGTTGCCATTATTTCCATTGATGGCAGGTGCAAGAATAGGTCCACTCGCACCATGTTCATTATGTTGAGAAACGACAGCCCCTTGCACTTCTTCAGTTGACATGATTGCTGGCAAAAAATAGATTAGGAAGATTAGTATAAATCAATAATCAATTAATCATGAACCTCAACAAACACAGAATGAAAGCCAAAAACATAATCAAGTTCGCCCAGGTCTGTTGTTGAACCCAGAAACAATATCTCAGCAGAAGGAAATTTTACCTTGAACCGACAGAGAGAGCAACGACGATAATCAAGTTTGCCCAGGTCTGTTGTTGAACCCAACAACAATATCTCGCATGCACATATCAAAGCCAAAGATCAAACCGGTAAGAAGACGAGAAACAGAGAGCTTGAACTATGATTCTGGATTTTGGAAGAAGATACAAGAATGAACAAAAACTCACCTTCTATTTATATGCAGCTCCATCAATCCAGTCGAATCGATTCTTCTCGGCAGAAGGAAAGTAATTATCATCACCATGGGGAAGGAAAGAAGATAATGATAAGGCCCTGGGTACGGTCTTTATGCTCAGAATCTCGCAGCAACGAATTGAGCTTGACACAATCCAAAACTCAGCAACTATGGATGGTTCGAATGATGAAAACGGTCGATTTCGTGCAATCCTTCACGCGGAGAAAGGCTCGAAATAGATAGGTCGATGCTTGGCCACGATCAAGGTGTTGAATTGATCGATACAAGCTCACGATTGCTTAGAATCGTCTAAGCCATCCAACTCAATTCCTCACGCAACTAGCGAGATGAACCAAAGCTCAACTTTGTATTCAATTGATCGAAAAACTTACTATTACAATGAATCAACTATTCTTAAATAGACCTACGTAACTTAACAAGCTTAAAACGGAAAACCAATTCTCAAACAACAAGGAATTTGACCTCAAACAGAAAAAGGAAAACACTAAAACACAATCCTAGTCCAAAACGGATTTGGATTTCCCCTTGCAAGACAGTCTTCTCGGCAGCTTCCATACGATCTTGCTCGCCTTCGTCGGAAGCCTTCAAAGTATGGTTTAGATCAACCAATGCCTCTACGTTGCTCTATGAAAACTGTACTTTCATGTGGTTGCCTTTGTGGAACTCGATTCTCCTTCGAACCAAGCTCCAAAAGTTGGTATCCAAGCTTTCTGCCAGACTTGGAGAATTCCTGGCAGTTTTCCAGATTCAGCATAGCGTTTTGATCTCCTTGGAAACTCAACCTCTCGACTTCTCCTTGAGCTCCAAAGCATACCGATCGAATGAGTAACTCCTCTTCTTCAACACAAGCCAAAGAACTCGAGTTTCTATCACACCAATTGAGACTTATGCTCGTCCAAAGTGGGTACCTGAAATCGTCACAAACACTTAGGCCAAAATCAGTATTTTCTAGTGTGTTTAGATGGCCTTCATGAGCGATCAATTCCCATCGTTTTAATGGCCAAATCGAGATCATATCAGTCCCTCCCCCATAAAAAAGCTTTGACCTCAAAGCTTTGGCCTTCCTGGTCTCATATTCATCACAGAATCGCTCCCAAATTGGATCATAAAATGGCAGCTCGAACTGAAAGTTCTGGCCAACCTTAGCGTTGTTCTTCAGCTTCGAAATTGGGGCTTTCTCCCTCAGGCACCTACAACACAATCCATGACCACGATGAGCTTCGCCTGACTTCGAATTGAAGTTCTAGACCAGTTTAGACCTTCGAATCATTGGGTTTGCCGTCGAATCGCGGCTTCCCAATTTCCCGCCACTGTCGGCATTTGAACTCGTCGAACCCAGGAACGTCAAATTAGATTTGGGGTTTTCAAATTCAAGCACCTCCAGTCGAATTGATTCATTCTTACAGCTTTCTGGGTCGATGATGATTGATTCTGCATCAGCCGTTTGGGTCGAATCGTCGCCACTGAGCCCACCCAATAAGCTCGAATTTTCTTCGAGTTTTGCCATTTTCAGAGCAAATCCAGCTCGATTGGGACTCGCTGATGGGGTGTTGATTGAGCCATTCCAACTCAGACAAGAGCTTCCTAGGGATGGTGGGAATGTTCCGGTGTCGTTGGTTGAGCTCGAATCATCTCTCACTGTTCCACCCCATCGACCCTCTCTCCTGCCCTGTTTTCTTCCCGCCGGCGAACAGAGCTGCTTCGAAGGAACTGGCCTGCGTGGATGGAACCGTTTCAGTACAGTTAGCAGGTAGCGATGGGCAAGGAAACTTTCCTCCTGCTTTCTCTCACTCGTTTCCCCTTTTTCCTTGGCCCGATTCTTAGCCAATTGAAGTTGATCAGCTCGAACCTCAGCAGGTGTCATTGGCTTGAGCATGAACTGTCGGCCTTGGTGATTCAGCTTATAGCAATTAGTTCCACCGTAGTGCCATACTTGTCGATCGAATTGCCTGGGACGCCCAAGGAGGATGTGGGCTGCCTGCATTGGAGCAACATCAAAATCTAGTTCATCCTTGTAATCTCCAATTGCGAAAGGGACTCGGGCTTGCTTAGTCACTTTGATCGCCCCGTAATCATTGAGCCAGTGTAAATTGTAGGGTTCTGGATGCTTTGTCGTACGTAGACCAAGCTTCTTAACGACGTCGGCACTAACGACGTTCGTACAACTTCCTCCATCGATAATTAGGGAGAGAATCTTGTCATTAACAACACACCGCGAGTGGAAGAGGTTGTCTCTCTGTTCTGCAGAATTGTCCGCTTCTATGATCAACGCCCTTTGTGTTACTGTCAACAATTTGCCAGGTGCGGGAGTTGCCATGATGATCTCCTCATCGACTTCCTCTTCAGTCACTGTGTCACTGTCCTTCCCTTGCTCTTCTCCATCACTGGCGTAATCTCCTTCACACAGAATTAGCGTTTTTAAATTTGGGCACTGGTTCGCTTTATGCCCTCGACCGTGGCATTTAAAGCACTGAATGGAACTTGTTGAGGGCTCAGCCTTGCCTGGATATGCTGGAGGCATCTGTTTGGGAACGCTCTTGGGAATTTCAATCCGAATTGGTGTTGGGTTTGACTCCAAAGAGTTCTCTGGTACACTCCGGTTGGAGAACCTCCTGGTTTTGGCTTGCTTCTCGATTTTGATCGCCAAATGCACAGCTTCTTCTAGCTCAACGAATTGCCTAAGCTCTAACTCCTGCCTGATGTCTCGATTCAGCCCATGTAGGAATCTGGCAATGGTGGATTCCCGGTCTTCTCGTACATCAGCTCGTAGCAGAAGCATCTCGAGTTCTTTGAAGTATTCATCAACTGTTTTGGTTCCTTGTCGAAGTGATTGAAGGGAATCGAAGAGCTCCCTCTGATAGTACCCAGGAATGAATCGATCATGCATTAATGTCCTTAGTTCGTCCCATGTGGTAACTAGAGGCTGAAGATTGCGCCGCCTTCTCATCTGAACCTGTTCCCACCATGTTGCTGCGTAATCGGAGAATTCGTAGACTGCAAGCAGAACCTTCTGTTGTTCAGTATAGTTTCCACATTGGAAGAACAACAGGATCTTCCGTTCCCAATCTAAATACGCTGTTGCACTGTTAGTTCCTTGAAAAGAGGGAATTGTCAACTTAATTCCTCGCAGTTCTGTGACTGGACCGTCGAACTCTGCTCCATTGTTTCTCCGGCCAAAGTCTCGATTGCCTCGATTGCGAGGGCTTGGATCTCCTTCAGTGGTGATTAATTGTCGCTCAAGATTTCGTAGCCTCTCATCTAAAGTGTGGTTTATGTTATTTGGGTCGTTTTGAACTGTCTGGGTCGCGGCTGTTTCTACCTCTGCTTCTCTGTCCGGTGGCTTCATCTCGTCAAGTCGACGAGTGATATGATCCAGTTGCAGCTGAAAAGAAGCATTCATCTGGGCAAGGGTAGCCTGAATCAATGCTATGGGATCCTCCTTGTTGGGATCCCCCATTGGTGCTCCTGCGTTGGCCTTAACCTTCTTCTTCTTCTTCTGTTCCGCAAGTATCACTGCTGGGTCTGCCGAAACAGGGCCTTTTGACCTTGTCCAATAAGTAGTTTCGGCAACGTCGTCCGTCCTGTCCGCTGTGTACAAACCGGGCTCTGATACCACTTGATAAGGCCCTGGGTAGGGTCTTTATGCTTAGAATCTCGCAGCAACGAATTGAGCTTGACACAATCCAAAACACAGCAACTATGGATGGTTCGAATGATGAAAACGGTCGATTTCGTGCAATCCTTCACGCGGAGAAAGGCTCGAAATAGATAGGTCGATGCTTGGCCACGATCAAGGTGTTGAATTGATCGATACAAGCTCACGATTGCTTAGAATCGTCTAAGCAATCCAACTCAATTCCTCACGCAACTAGCGGATGAACCAAAGCTCAACTTTGTATTCAATTGATTGAAAAACTTACTATTACAATGAATCAACTATTCTTAAATAGACCTACGTAACTTAACAAGCTTAAAACGGAAAACCAATTCTCCAACAACAAGGAAATAGACCTCAAACAGAAAAAGGAAAACACTAAAACACAATCCTAGTCCGAAACGGATTTGGATTTCCCCTTGCAAGACAGTCTTCTTGGCAGCTTCCATACGATCTTGCTCGCCTTCGTCGGAAGCCTTCAAAGTATGGTTTAGATCAACCAATGCCTCTACGTTGCTCTATGAAAACTGTACTTTCATGTGGTTGCCTTTGTGGAACTCGATTCTCCTTCAAACCAGTCGAACCAAGCTCCAAAAGTTGGTATCCAAGCTGTCTGCCAGACTTGGAGAATTCCTGGCAGTTTTCCAGATTCAGCATAGCGTTTTGATCTCCTTGGAAACTCAACCTCTCGACTTCTCCTTGAGCTCCAAAGCATACCGATCGAATGAGCAACTCCTCTTCTTCAACACAAGCCAAAGAACTCGAGTTTCTATCACACCAATTGAGACTTATGCTCGTCCAAAGCGGGTACCTGAAATCGTCACAAACACTTAGGCCAAAATCAGTATTTTCTAGTGTGTTTAGATGGCCTTCATGAGCGATCAATTCCCATCGTTTTAATGGCCAAATCGAGGTCATATCAGATAATCAAGGGAAGGAAGGAGGGATCGTTGTGTGGATGTGGGATAAGGCA